GGGCCTCCTGGAGTAGCTGGACTACAGGGCATGCGCCACATTGCCCAGCTAATTTGCTTGGCCAATTCTTTCTTCCTTCCTTCCTTCCTTCCTTCCTTCCTTCTTCCTTCCTTCTTCCTTCCTTCCTTCCTTCCTTCCTTCTCTTCCTTCCTTCCTTCCTTCTTCCCTCCTTCCTTCCTTCTTCCTTCCTTTCTCTTCTTTCTTTCTTTCTTTCTTTCTTCTTTCTTTCTTCTTTCTTTCTTTCTTTCTTTCTTCTCTTTTCTTTCTTCTTTCTTCTTTCTTCACAGAGTCTCACTGTGTTGTCCAGGCTAGAGTTTGTGCCTTGGTGTGCCAGCCTAGCTCACAGCAAACTCCTGGGCTCAAGCAATCCTTCTGCCTCAGCCTCCCGAGTAGCTGGGACTACAGGCATGCGCCACCATGCCCGGCTAATTTTGTTTATATGTTTTTAGTTGTCCAGCTAATTTCTTTCTATTTTTAGTAGAGACAGGGTCTCACTCTTGCTCAAGCTGGTCTCGAACTCTTGAGCTCAAATGATCCTCCTGTCTTGGTCTCCCAGAGTGCTAGGATTACAGGCATGAGCCACCGGCCTGCTTGGCCAATTTTGGTTTGATGTTCCTCAAGCTTCTCTTCAATGGTTTCTGCTTTCTTCGCTCAGTTCCTTGAACTCTGATTTTTGCCACAAGGATCAGTGATTTGATGTCCCACTTTAGATGTAAAACAACCCAAGCTGAAAGTTTCCCTGGACACAAACAGACTAAACAGGCTTCTTCTTCTTTTTCTTTTTCTTTCTTTTTGCTTACTTCTTTCTTTTATTTTTTAGAGATGAGGTCTTGTCCTATTGTCCAGGCTCGAACTACTGGGCTCAAGGGATTCCCCTGCCTCAGCCTCCTGAGTAGCTGGGACTGCAGACATGTGCTATAGTGCCCTGCTCAGATGAACCTATTTTCTTTTCTTCTTCTTTTTTCTTTTTTTTTTTTTTGAGACAGAGTCTCACTTTTTGCCCAGGCTAGAGTGAGTGCCATGGGTCAGCCTAGCTCACAGAACCTCAAACTCCTGGGCTCAAGCGATCCTCCTGCCTCAGCCTCAAGTAGCTGGCTACAGGCATGTGCCACCAGGCCCGGCTATTTTTTCTATATATATTAGTTGGCCAATTAATTTCTTTCTATTTATAGTAGAGACGGGGTCTCGCCTTGCTCAGGCTGGTTTCGAACTCCTGACCTTGAGCAATCTGCCCGCCTCGCCTCCCAGAGTGCTAGGATTACAGGCGTGAGCCACCGCCCGGCTCTTTTTTCTTTTTTTGAGACAGAGTCTCACTCTGTTGCCCAGGCTAGAGTGCCGTGGCCTCAGCCTAGCTCACAGCAGCTCAAACTCCTGGCTCAAGCGATCCTCCTGCCTCAGCCTCCAGAGTAGCTGGACTACAGGCATGCACCACCATGGCCGGCTAATTTTTTCTATATATTTTTAGCTGTCCAAGTATTTCTTTCTATTTTAGTAGAGACGGGTCTCGCTCTTGCTCAGGCTGGTCTTGAACTCCTGAGCTCAAATAGTCTGCCTGCCTTGGCCTCCCAGAGTGCTAGGATTACAGGCTCCACCGGCACCTGGCCAGATGGACCTATTTTCAATTCAGCCTTCCTGCTGAGAGAGAGGAACTGGACAGAGTTCTCCATTGCATGTCTTTCCTTTATGCAGATGCTAAATGAAGCAGATCTCTCTTTGCAGTGGGGGCAGTCTGGTGGGACCGAGCCCTCCCCCTGTGGGATCTGACGCCGTCTCCAGGCAGATAGTGTCAGAATTGAATTGCATTATAGGACACCCAGCTGGTGTCTGCTAGAGAACCAATTGATTGATTGGTGTGTGTGTGTGTGGGGAAAAACTCCCCCACGTACCTGGTGTCAGCCGTGCCGATGTGATGTGTAAGAGTAGAGGGGGAAAAAAAACCTTTTGGTTACTTCCTCTATCCACTCAGACCTACAAACGAAAAACACAATGTGCAATGAGGTTGTATACCAGGAGGACTTAACT